AAGTTTTCACTTTCTGCCAAACATGTCTTACTAGTGCCATATTGCCCAGGTTGACGAGTATTTGTGATTTCTTAATTTAGATTACAATTCCTGATAATAATACTGATCTTACGCTACCAATTGAAAAGTTTTGTTTTAATAGATAATCTGCATAACTTATATAAGCATAATTAATTATTCCAAATTTTTCTTTTTTTAACTTTTACGCATCATTATAGATTAGAGTAAATTGTAAACAATTCTGCTTAATGCGACCGCATATCTTTAAACTAATTTACTACTTATGTCTCAATTATTTAAGATTTATACGAAACAATTTGAAATGGGTGAATAATATACCAAGGTATTATAAAAAGTTTTAATTATTAATTGAAGGTGGCTTTTATAGGTTAATTGCTTTTCATGGAAATAATTGGTGTGACTGACATTGTCAGTTCGCGCAACGAATATTTGATAAGGAAAAGCGATATATCGTATAATCTCGCCATTTTTTACATAAGAATAATTAGGACGCCTCAATTCATTCGATAATGAGGATTAGTACTTCATTTAAGAAATAAGTTTATTTTATTATTGAAGGATTTCATATTTTTTTGTTTACTCAAACTTGATGTTCATATAATTATCAAATTTTGTCATCAATATTTATTTGGGAACAATTAAACTACTTTATCTGCAATTTGACTAATTCGGTAAGGGTTTTTACTAATTTTATCGATCTGTAAGTTTCTGCTTTTTGTAACACTGTCTAAAATATGTTCTTATTATGAACTGTTGGAAATATTTTTCTTATTCTTTGCTTGCTAATCTTTATACCTGTATTTTAGGTTTTTATGTGATTATATAAGGTAATGCACTATTGTATTTGAATTCAGCTAGTGTTGATTTGACCTCGTTTACGCAACCTACCGAGGCGACAGTGAGAGTTCGTGTAGCGTACCTAGTCCTGAGTCATTTGCCATAGTATTCATGATGATTTCCAACATCGGTTTGTTGACTTGGTACATTCCTAGACGTTTCGCTGGTATTGTAATTGGCCTCGTTAGTTAGAGCCGCCATCATTATCACAGAGTTACAACTTGCCAAACTATCATATAAATACAATTCTGTTGTCAATTATCATTGTTAAGTTGTAGCTTCGTGCTCATAATGGCGTCTCTCACTGACGAAGCTGACTTCGATGCTAGCTAAACGTCTGGGAATTTACCAAGTAAACAGTCCGATGCTGGAAATAATCATGAATACACTGACAGAGGACGAAGAACTAGGTAGGCTTCACGAAATCTCCTTTTCGCTCCAACCACTTTGCGAAGATGAGGCCAAACCCAAAATAACTTTATCGTCTTATCACACCGAAACGCATTCTCTCAATTCATTTAATTCAAAATCTTATATTGTTTTTCTAAAACCTATTTGGTTTTCTCCTTTACATCGTCTTATCTCTGCAAAATCAGTGCCTCCTGCTAGAAACTTAACACTACGATAACATCTTCCTTATTTTTTTATAACCACATTTAAAAAATAATTATTCTGAATTAGACTCTATTTTGCATATACTTTGTCTTTTTGAATTTTTGCCCCTTTGTTTGATCTTTGATCTTTCTTATTGTTTTGATTTTGATTTAAAACTGAAGTTGTGCATCACTTTGTGACATGACTTTCCGTTTCGAAGTAACAGTTAGTTGGATGGAATTCGTAATATGGTGTCACCGGAAATCAAAGGAGGATTGCCGCGTAGGGAAGACTGCTGTATTGCGTGAAGTAGTCTTCGGCTCATCGTCCTTCAAATTTGATTCAAATTCCAAACAATATGACAGATCAAAGACCGAGCTAAGGGTCTAAATTCTAATATACAAAGTATATGCAAAAGAGTGTCCAGTCCAGAATTTTAATTTTTTACTGTGGTTATAAAAAAGTATTAGAGATGTTATCGAAGTGTTAAGTTTCTAGCAGGGCGCACTGATTTTGCTGGGATAAGACGATGTAGAGGCAAAGACCAAATAGGTTTTAAAGAAACAATAGACGATTTTGAATAAGATGGATTGATGGAATGCGTTTCGGTGTAATAAGACACGAAAGTTATTTTTATTTGGCCTCATCTTCACAAAGCAGTCGGAACGAAAAAAAGACTTCATGGAACCTATCTAGCCCTTCGTCCTCTCTCAATGTATTCATGATGATTTCTAGCGTCAGTTTTTCTTCATATGAGCCATTTTGTTTGCCATGACATTTACGAACCATGCTACCGCATTATCAGCTCAAATTGATTCTTCTCGTTTTTTACAGCACAATGAAGAGTTTATGAAGCGATTATTTTGTTGTACACCAGTTTTTTTATTGCAGATGTTTTTTAAAGCTACATGTTTGATTCATTTTCAGGGGAGATCGAAGAAGTTTTCGGTTAACTTATTTTTGAATGTGGTATCCCTGTTCTTTATTTGTGTCTAATTGAACTTTTACTGTAATTACTACTTTTTTAATAGGACCTTTCAGATTTTTCACAAATTTTTTATAGCATAGAATATATTTTTCTTATTTGCATACCCTCATGTGTTTATATAAAAGCTGTATTCACCCTACTTTATTTATGGTGGTGAAGAATTTGTCTTTGAATTTTCCCACATGGCGAATCCATTGATAAACATACCTGTCTTTTATCTTGCCTATATATGGATTTTACAAAAATTTTGCCAATTTTTTTCTTTATACCATACAGCATAGCAAATTACTTCCAAATTAGTATAATTTTATTTGCTCAAATTCCATTATATTTGATCTCATTTTCCTTTATGACTATATCAGGGGCATTCATCTGCGGATCTTTCAATGCCTTGCGGTGCTTTCGATACGGATGTTCCCAGCCACCTTCCTACTTCCACCGACCCTAAAAGTGCTTCAGGTTCTATTCAACTACATCCTGCCCTTATTCCACCAGCATGTCCCCCGCATTCTCTAGAAGTCGCTACCTCTTCCACCTCCATCTTCTCGTCTTCATCTTCTCCAATTACTTCTCCATCATGTAATACTTCTCCTGGTCTCTCCACCTCACCTATGTGTCCTCCTGGTGGCATTTTTTCCTCTCGTTTCTCCCTGGCTTCTTGCTTTTCTCCCTCTACCTCCATTACATGCGCCGTTAATTCGCCAAACGTTGTCTCTCCTCTTTCTCCGACACCCATTTCCATGCAAGGCCCCAATCCTTCTATGTCTACCACACCTCCAACGACTGCTTGCATGCCAGCTGAGACTGTCTCTTCATCGGCGGTCGTGGCTGCAGCAGCATGGATTTCGGCAGCCGCTGCAGCTGCAGCAGCCGCTGTTGGCGGACGGCCAGCCACGATGAGTAGTTCTTTTTCCTCTCCTTCATCATCATCTTGCTCTCCTGTTCCTTCACTTTCATTCTCTCGTGGATTAATTCTTTTGGAAAGCAATGGGAGAGCATCCAGCATGGTAAATCGCATTAATAATATCTCGGGCCCTCTGACTACAACTGCCCAGCTTCAAGATTGTCGCCTCTTCTCTACTGATCATTCACCTATCCCTGCGGCGGCCTCAATATCTGGCCTAACTATGCCATCTGTAACGCCAACGACTTCTTCCAGTTCACCAGCGTTGGAATCATCGATCAGGACCGGCTCTTACATTGACACTGATACCGGTGTACCGGCCGACTCAAATATGACAACTGCTACCATAACTGCAGCATCACTTATGGCTGTGCAAACATTTGGCTCATCTGGACCTATCTCACTCTCTCCATCCACTGTCGTTTCAGTTTCTCCCACTGTCTCCACCGAGGCTCAGCAGGTTATTCCAGTGTCCCCTTCATTGTCTTTTATTCCAGCCACTGGAACATCCAGCTCATCTAGCCACAGCGTCGATAGTAGACAATTGACTAGCACTCTGGTTAGTACTTTTCCGCATTTTGTCAAATATTCAGTTAGGAAGGCTTTGCGCACAATCATTGAAGGGAAATGTTTTTGTACGGATATGGGATTTTATAAGAAGGTTGATTTCGAAGTTTCGAAAGTATCTAGAATATATTTTTTAGAAAGTGCTTTTCTTCGTAACTAGTCCTAAGAGATTTAACCTAATTTGTCTTTTTTATTGTCTTGGTTCGAAATTGTTTTCGCAACTTGGTCGGAGCGTCAGGGAGAATTTGTGGAACGTATCTATGCCCGTGTCTGTCGTGATTTCAAGTATTGGAACATTGGTCATCCGATGGTCACAAACTTTTCTCGGGCATCGTAGTCGGCATCGCCAATGAGAGGCGCCATCGTAAACACAGAGTTACCGCTTATCAAAGTGGCTAGTGAAGGCAATCCACGTGACCAATTTTGTGTTCAACCGTTGTAGCATCACTCCTCGCCCCTATTTTTCGTTCTACCTTCTATGGTCGCATCTCTTTCTCCCAACCCCACTTATATGGCCCATCCATTTATTCACTCACTTTTGTGCTCTCGCTTTCTCCAATGTCGTCTAAAAGTGTGTCGCTACAAGTGGGTTTATTGAAGGGCAATCATCTCCACCACCGGTACCAGATGCCGTTTGCAGAGCTTTTGTTCTACATTCTGCCTGACCCCTCATTTTTTTCCAAGCTCGCTTAAAGGGGGACAGAATGTAGGTCAGGAGGCCTGCATACGGCAGCTGGTACCGATGGTGAAGATAATTGACCTTCACTAAACCTACTTGTAGCGACACTTTTAGGTGACATTGGAGCAAATTAGAGCACAGAATTGTATGAGTAAATGGATGAGCTTTATAAGGGGGTGGAGTGCAGAGAGTTCTCACGAAAGCGGCTAAAAAAAGGGGCACCAACCACATTTTATTAAGCAAGTAAAATATTGTGACAGTGAAGGCGTGTTTGGAGGTTATAGGTAATGTGATAGGCCAGGGCA